TGAGTTGGCTCTGTTTCTGTCTCTGTCATTACAGGTCCTCTGTCCAGAAAACTACAGGCTGAGAATTGCTGCTTGGTGAGCAGTGATCCTGTGGTAGCTTCTCTTATCTTCCCCATCTTGAATACTGGATCTTCAGAAGAACTGTGGCGTCTGTGGGACATTCAACTTTGCTTTAAGTCTATATACTTTTACATTATCATCTGGGCTAAGAAAAGGTTTGCCATGCCATGGGTAATGGATTGTGGACAAGCTGCTCTGTTCTGAAAATAGTTTCTGTAAAACGGGCAATGAATCCCTATGGTTTTTTTCTTGTTTGCTCTGTATCAACACACTGCATTTAAAGTGAAAAGATGCTACTGTTGAAACACCAAGGTTAACAGACATTTGCTCTTTTTAAAAACCTATGGTTCCTTATGAACCCAGGATGGGGACTAGGTAGACTTTACAGAAGTGCTTCTAATTCTCTATTATCTCAAGACAATTCCCTAGCTGGGGTTTTTTTCATCCGATCTTTGACCACTCCTCCCTATTCTCAAGAGTTAGTTTAGAAGCAATTTGTAGGAAAAGGCAGTTTTATTTCTTGGATCTTACCTCAAAAGCTAAGAGCACTATTTGAGGACACAAACATAACCTAAATAGGAGTGGAAATACTTTCACATCTGAGTTTACCTCTATACAAATAAATTCACAGCCATTTTGACGCAGCACCTCAACTTATGCATCTGGTAAAAAAAAGTATTAGTGTGGGGGGGAGTTCAGTTCACAAGCAAAGATGGTGATGGGAGCAACTACATGATGGGCACCTTAGAAAAGAAGTTTCCAGATAAATTTCATTGCTTTGGAAATGTCTTATCAACCACGAGCATGTTTTTTCAATGACCCTGCATTCAGTAGCTGTGGTACCATGCCATGGTATACAGGCATGTAGGTGCCATAGGAGGTAGAAGGAAGTAAGTTTACATAGATATGTGAAGAAGACACTTGTAAAACTTATATATATTGACAAAAAGATGATGCACAATCATATCATTTTGCAGATTTGCTCATAGAAAGAAAGTTTACTATGAGAAATGTGTATGAATATAGAAAACATACAGCTACTAAAGGTATACATAACTATTAGCTGTAACATGTTAACCTGCACCTTCACCTCCTCTGAACTGTTCATGGAGGACCTTTGTCTTCCCTCTAAGAGTCCTTAAAACTCTCAGACTTGAGACTCCCTGAGTCCTCTAAGACTGCTACCCTCAGAAGGCTGAAATTACCTTTTTTGAGTATCCCCCAATGATTTACTTAGAAAAACAAAGAAATGTGTTTAGTTGCTACTGAAAATGACGGCAGGTGACTTTACTGAATTATATATAATAAATATTTCAGTTGCTAAGATTACCAGACATTGGGGAAACAAAAGAAAATGAAAGAAATCGCTATCCTTCAAAATCTGAGTCACATGGTTTCCACACATATTCCTATTACACAGTCTGAGGAAATCCAGCATAAGAGATATTACCAGATCTTTCCTTCTTATTTAATTTACAAGTCAAAGAAAGACATTTTTAGGACGGCAGATCCACTTGCTTGATCTGAAAATGAAGTTATCTGTTAGGCAAGTTCTCCATTAATGTGCCTGGCAACTATAGAGAGAAGAAAAGTGGAACATCCTAACACTTGCTTTTGTCTGTGGCTGCAGAGACTTTGCAGAGCTGACAGCTGATAAATGACTGTGCCAGTTCTGCCACAATGCCATTTATTTCAGTGGTGCTAAGCCTGCTTCATGACATTCCTGGTAATGAATCTAACAAGGAGGTAAGTACAGTACCAATACATTATTCTAACAGTCATTTTTTACCAAAATCATACATTAGCCAGCCCTTTAATATCTTATCCTTTAGAAGCTGGGTTTCTTCTTTTTTTTTTCTTTTTCCTATCCTTTTTTAATCCTGTTACTGGAATCTGTGTATCTCTACTATCTTCATGTTGTTTTCAGAAAAGTCCTTCATTACAGCAGGAGACAGTGATAATCACTAGGCGCCCTTTCTGAGCAGCTGGAATTCCCCCCTCATTCAATTATCAGCGAGATCTGACCCTGCCTGGCTTGTGAGGCCACTCAGATATGGAAACTTGAAGACAGGAGGTGGTATGGCAATGAGACAAAGCTGTAAGTACAGGCAGTGGGCAAAGCATGCCATATTATAATCCAACAGGATCATGACTTCTTTTTTTAAAATGAGTCACAGGAAAATATTTTTTCCCTTTTATTAATTCCATTTGAAAATAGTAGAAAAGGACCATGTGTACATGTACTTGCCTGCAGTAAAAAGCATGGAACATTAAATAATTTTAATAATAATTCCCTCCAAATCAGCCATCTTTATTCCTATGAACCAGTCCGTTTGAGCATTCAGTCTTCCTTTCCACCTCAGGGTGGTTAATTAATAAACCTTTAGTTAATTGAGATTTCTGCTTGCCAATTCCACAGGGGTTATTACTTAAACACATGCAAACTGCATTTCCATTTAGAGCAACTTTCTGGTTTTCTCTCTTGTAAGTACAGTCAATGTAAATTTTCTGCATTCAAACATTAGACATTAACACTGCAGTGGTGTTCACCCACTACACATCATAGCTTGCAATCTATTCCTTATTACAAATAACCTATGCAGAGCCAAGAGCTGAAACATATGGTATTTCTGCAGTATTGCTTAAAACCACAAATTTAAAGAAGCAGAGGTCTCTGGTGTCTTTCAAACAAACCTTTTTCCCTGTAAAAAATGATTATTTAAAATAAAAACCCTCTGTGTATGTCCAGTTATAAACAATTTGGGAGACTTGAAACAGAAGAGAAATATAATAAAAAAATATAAATGGTGTGAGTCAGAGGAAACCTTTGAAAATTATAAAAACATATAAGTAGACACGGAAGCATCTTTTTGTCATTTACAAGTGGGAGATGGAAGTAAAGACACAAGCCAGTGAAAGCATTTATGTTAAAGAGAGGGAGCAAGCCAATCTGAAAAGCCCAGAGCCTTTACAAAGAACCACGAGAGTCCTTTGTGCACATGTAGTTGGGTCAGCAACTAACATATCGTGTATCTCCAAGAAAAGGTACAGTTTATGCATTGCCAACATCAGCTTCTACACACACTGCCTTATTTAGGTGCTGAAGAGGAAGAGCTAACACAAGGGTGGCGAGGAATTCCCGTCACCACAATATTTCAATCCATGACCTCAACACTATCAGGAAGGAAAATACTAAAAGCCAACTTGAAAAGCACCTTTTTTTTTTTTAGATACAGAGGCCTACTCAATGCTGAGGACTAACTGTTAGTATCTCCACAACAGCAGCTAAATTGACAACGGATGTTAATAATCCCCAGTGGCCTTTAACGGTGTTTTGTGGGTCTCTACCAGGCAGGTGGACAGTCTGTTGGTATGAATGGCCCCACCCCATGCTGAATGGAGAACTTTGCTAATTTTCATCACTAAAGAATACTGTTTAAGGGGCTGTTTAAAGCCAGTTTCCAGGCAGGCTTGGAGGAGACAGAAGGGAGTGAAGGGACAGCTTACTTCCGCCTTTGCCACTCTTCTCCATGCGATACTGGTAGATGTGCAGAGTAAAGAGCATGTGGGAGTTGCGGTGATCCTCTTCGTCGCAGTCCCGCTGGCTGCTGCGACGCGAGGCGATAGCGGCATCAAGGAAGAAGGCAGCCTTCTCTGCCGTAGGGGCGCGGAGCTCACTCTGATTCTGGAGCTGCAGGTCAACACAAGGGAGAAATGACCTAGAAACTCCCACACAAGTCAACACTACCAGACAACTTCCCGCAGTCAATGTACAGTGTGGTTGGCTTCTGATGGGACTGAAAAGGAGGAGGTGCCCAATGGAACGAGACCCTCCTGACACTGGCAGTGGCAATACCGTGCCCTCCAGGAGCTCCATGATTGAATCCCGACTTTTGAGGGTTCTCACTTGGGGTACCTCTGGTGGCAGTCATTACACATAAACCCCAGCAACTGGAAACCGTCCTACAGGCTGGACAGATGCATAAATTTGTTCCTTCACTTTCCCAGAATTTTAAGTTAGTTATGCTTATTGACTATTCATTATTTTCATTATTTTTACAGCCTTTTTTTTTTTTTCCCCTGCATTGCTGGCTCTGGCAATCACTGTGTCCCTCTGACTGTTAGAAGTGAAAAAAAAAAAAAAATTGTGGAAGACACATCAATCCCAAATTCAACAGTTGCTGGAGACTGGCAGGGCCAGTACTACGTCTTGTTACCCTTCAGAAAGTGTTAGAAAGGGGCAGTCTACAGATAAATCTGGGAAATAACAGGACTGAAGCCTGTGTTCAGCCCCACAGCATGTAGGGAGCAGCACAGAAGAGAAGCCTTTTTCTTGACCCTTCATACCACATGCTTATGCACCTGCTCACGAGCCAGGGCAATCCATTAAATGGAACAAGGCAGGTAATGTATGTACATTCACATTTGCTGGACCTCAATCCCCATCACCAGACTGCTCTTATCTCTCCAAAGTGATAGACAGAATAGGAGGGCAGATATTATTAACCCCCCATAACGTTAGGAATGCATGCATGTTTCATGTCACCTAAGATTAGTTTGTCTGTGGAAGGGACGTGTGACTGTGCAAGCTGATGGCATTAGTTTTGGCAGTACGCAGAGCTGGCCAACAGCCCATAGGATAGACTTGTTTTGTCTGGCATAAAAACAGCGAGGAACTCCCATTCTCAGTGTTTGTTCCCCTGCTATGTAATAGAGCTAGAAGTTAAGTTCTCCTAAAGAAGACAGTACTCGTGTTTTCTCTTCATGACCATTTATCAGCCTGAGGAAGGATAAAGCCAAGGCTCTGCATGGGATGGGGTGACACAGCTGAAGGCTCTCTAGAAAGAGGGAGGGGGGCAGGAAGGAGTTAACAAGGCAAGCAGAAGGCAGGCCAGTCTGTGGGCTGATCTCACTAATGTAAGCAACAAGAAATTGTGCATACTTGGAAAGGCCCAATGACAGACAGTATGACATATGGCGATTATTCATTTGCTATACACGCTGCTGATTTTGCATATCTGTATGGCTATAATGCAATATCCTCCCTTCATCTGAGGATCTTGAGAATTCAGGTGCAGGACATATGACTCCAGAATGTCGCTATGTCTTGTACACAACGCATAAAAAGGCTTTTTTTCTTGGAATTTAATTCAGTATTTTACACTGCAGAGATACATAGACATCTCATGGAGCTACCTTTTCTCCACTTATCTAAAATAATTCATTTTGTATATGGCTGTTCTGTCTGTATCTATATGAAAATAAGCAACAATAATGGGATATTTATTACTATTGCTATTGTGCTTAAATATCTTATTAAAGAATTAAGCTCTAAGGAGAGGCTAGTTGTTACGCAGTTACGTAACATATATAACATACATATGCTAAGTCAGATATTAACTGGCCCATCTATCACCCCAATGGGAACTGTGAAGACTCAAGTCTCCCGTCTTATATTCACTAGACTGCACCCATTACTGGATACCTGAGGGCGAGATCTCTCGTGACACTGTAAGTATTTCATAAGGCACTAAAGCCAGGAGTCAAGTGAGAATGAGAATCCTAATTGTTATTTAAAATCAAGATGCAATTTTGTAGTCCTATAGTAGAATGCAAAAGAATGGAAAATATGATCTAAGTAAGTCCAAAAGGCTTAAACCACAAAGAGATAAACCACAAAATTTATTACTTGCTGTTTAAAAACTCATGATTCACTACTTTTGTGGCTGTGAATCATGATTTCTAGATGCTTGGAGCTGGAAATAGGGTACATGACCCTGTAGGTATGTTCCCTCCTCCCTCCATTACCCATCCTTGGATAGGCAGTGCTCTGCAGGTTCTGGATGGAAGCAGCCTTTGCCTTTAAGGTTGAAAGAATGTATTCAAGCTACATCATGCTGGTTTTCTCCCTCTTCAACTACTCATACAAAAATCAGATTCACTCCCTCACAGACAGCAAAATGAAAGAATAGGCCTTTTTTCCCCTCAAACCAAGAGGTGCAAAAAAAATAGGGCTGCTGAGACTTTCTAGTGGTTACCCAGGAAATACATGAGCCAGTTACAAAAAGCTAAACCTCTAAACCTGAGAAGTGTTCAAGTTATTCTTGGCTTGCCCAGCTCAGGAATTTATTTCTTGGCATTAATAAGTAGCGATTAATGCTTCCTACAACATTGCTAATGCAAGTGCTATAAATAATGTAGTTTATAAAGAGATAAACAGCCATATTAATGGCCTCCAGCTATTTGTGCAGTACTGTAAATATTTTAGCTTGTTGTTTTACAAAAGAGAGATCACACTTTCTTTTTATTTTTTTTTTTTAAGAATGAGGTGAATTTTTGTTTGCACTGAATGTTTTCACATTTTATTGCAAACACAAGCCCCTGCTCAACAGTTATACCAGAGGTACAAATATTTAGGCCAGGAGAGCAGATGGCCCTGCAGCTGCAGGTCATAAAGTTCTTGTGTGTTTTAAAGTAAACACTTTCAAGTCTATAAACTTTATGCTCTGGGTAGTTCTTGAATTTGAACCATCTCAATAGCTAAAAAAATAAAAAAAAAAAAAGTCACATTGCTTGTTTCAGTGTAAAATGAACCTTGGATTTACCTGCATGCCATAAATGGGGTCTTCACAAAGGTAGACACCTGGGGACTGGCCATCTTGCAGACTGCCTGTAGCCACTTCTGACAACAAGTCTCTTAGATTTTCTTCTTTCCCCCACACTTCCACTGCAGAAATTCGGACTGAGAAGCGGGCTCCTGTCTTCTCTTTGCGTTCATTAATCAACTTGAAGAGCCAGGAGATGGCACAAGGGATTATGCCAAGGTTTTGCATGGAATCATCCTTCCCGATCATGGTGTATGACTTCCCTGTGAGGAACAGGGGGATAGAGAAAAGATAACAACATCACTCCCAGGACCTTCACAGCCTTCTGCCAAGAGAGATTATACTGTACAGCCTCATGAAAACAGCTTCTTCACTACAATAAGGACAGTCAGCAAGGGAGAAAGATAGACAGGCAGACAAATAGTACATGGAAACAGGAGAGCATTTAAAACCGACAGATGAAATCTTGAGCTGCTTTCAAAAATCATTACCTCATGCATTCCCCTGACATCCCTCATTCCCTAGGCAGGGTGCTGCAGGTCCTTACCACACAACACTGCAGCCTCTGATGCAGCCTCTGATGTGGGTGAATAGTGGGGGGACTTGAGCAGAGCAGGAGTGCTATGGTCTCTAAAAATCCCTGGTTTAGATACTGTGAGTGTGGTATTCTTTGAATACCATTTTACTTCAAAGCACTATATTATGCTTCATATGCTGGGGTTGGGATTGACATAAACCTGGTCCCAGGATCATAAAGATGTAATTTCATACAGAAAAAAAAACCCAGGTACATATGCTCATTTGGTGCATAAGTGGGTCCACAACAAGAAATATTTTATCTGGGTCAAAACATTCTACTGGTTTGCTATTATTTCACTCTGTGATTATAGCTCTGGCTTGTCCCTGCTGTAAAAGTTTGCTGAATAAGAACAGACTCAGAGTACTATCTTATACTGCTTTAGGTGTCACAGCTCTTAGACAAGTTTTCTAAAGCTCCTGAATTTCTAAGCCAAATATAAATGTATACGTCCTTTCAGGCAAGTACTTGTGGCTTCTTCACCTTGTTTCATTTCTTATGTTGAATCTATGTGGAAAAAGATCAGCGAAGAAAATATTTCTATGCACGTCTGTGGCAAGGTCTGGGTGTCTCCACAGTTGGTGGGAGGGTGGTGGTGCAGTCAACGAAGCAACTGCAGAGACTCAACTCATGCTCTAGCAAAGCCCTAGTTAGGCTGCCTCTCTAAAGGACATGTAGCATTTGTGAGGCATCATTATCTAGTGGCTTTCTTTTCCATCTCATTTGCCATCTCATGTTTAGCAGATCACAGGGGGTTAAATATCCAAGTGCTTATCCTAGGGTTACTCCTGCCTGGCCCAGAGGGACCTTGGGGTTAGTTGGACCAGTAGCCCTGCTCCATTCATTGTACCAGAGCTGGTGGCATTGCAACATTCAGTGCTTTCCAGTTTTTGTTGCCTATAATTTGGGATAATCATGGCCTGATACAGCTTGATCTTCTTTATCACCTGAAAAACTGAATTATCTTTTTAAGTTGTATGTGTATGTCTGTGTTTCTTTGAGACAGTGAAGAATGGAGATCATTGCACACGTACAATACAACCCTCTTCAATAAAGAGACAATATTTTCAAAATACTATTACATAAGTATGAACAAAATATATGATTACTCTTAAAATCCAGTTATTTCAAAAGAATAGTGTGTTAATGATGATGATTCTCCTTTTTATTGTCTTTCTATGAATACCGGAAATGCTGTTGATGCATTTGCAAAGAGTGAGTTTTGATCCACTGGTAACATTCAGTTAACCATTAGAATAGGATTTGTTGGAGACAGAATAGGGAGAGGTTAGTAATGAGTGAAGTGTCTAATAATGAGTGAAGTGTCTAATAATGAGTGAAGTGTCTAATCAGGGAATAGAATATAAATCAAACGTATTTGAGTGCCCAGTCACAGCACTTGAATAGTGCCATCACAAACATCAAGTACTTGAGTGGATACTCACAGCCTTTAGACAGCTTGATAAAAGTGGTATTTTGGCAAACAGTCTCCAATACCAAGCACATTTGTAAAACTGTAGATCACTGTTGGATCATTCATTAACAATTGAAGACAGTGCTAAAAATTGCTGTAGTACTCAGGGGATGGAATGAAGCAACAACTCAAAGATAACTTCTGTTTCAAAGAGCATGCTATCCAACATTTAGACAATACATGAAGTGAATAGATACGGAAGCAAGAAGTGAAGGTCTAGTACGAGGTCATGCATGGTGTGCCACTTTCAAATACAATTACTATGCACAGACAAATGAAAGTTTGTTTTCCCTAATCTAATGTACTAGCAATCTTGGGTTAAATATATTCACTTTGCTGCTTGAGTAGGGAAATTTAATAATACCAACCAAGCTTGGCATGGCCAAAGCAGAACACGCAGCCATCTGCCCCATTGACCACAGACTGGATCACCTCAGCCACAGTCCCAGCACAGACTTCAGCCTGTCACAGGTATTTAAAAAAAAAAAAAAAAAAAAAAGACAGAAAAGAAAACCATTAACAACAATAAGGAAAATCAACAGAGTATTTTCACTGGAAAATGGTTGTAATGTCATCAGTGCTCCAGATAGCATGTTGAAGTATTCAAAAAGTCTAATCCTGCTTCTGTCATTCACGTAACCTATGCTGTTGATGGAAATGATATTAGTTGTGTAAGCACATGAAGCAGGACTTTTGCTCTGTGTCAAGTAAGTTTCATTTGCTGAAGCATCAACATCCTTTGTGGGGGTTAAACAAAATACACATACTGTAAAGGGATGTGGTTGGTTTATTAGAACTGCCTACTGAGGGGACTTTAAAAATACATTTTTTATTAAAAAACAATCAAATACTGAGGAATTTTTATAGGCTCTAGTACTTGCCCAATTATGGACTGAGTAAAATTCCACTAGCAGGTGGGTAAGGAATGTAAGGGGAACAAACAGCCTCTTTGGTATTAGCTAGGTGACATTTCTTAATTTTTCTCTATGTTATTATGAGTCGTCTTAGCTTTTAGCAGCAGTAGGCTCCATCCTGAAGACTGTAGGAGTATTTTAATAAGTACAAGACACAAATTTACCCTGGGCATTCTTAGATTTAAGGTTCAAGCAGGCTGAATGGGTCTACAGTGCTTCTGCAGCAACTGCCTATCAATAGTGGGTGAAACTAAATCAGAATTCGTAGTTTAGGCTTTTATGTGAAGCACTTTGCATTTAATAAATTATGTAAATGCACCTAGTTCATGGGTGTTTCTAGACTATCTCTATAACAGTAAGTAAAATGGGCCAAGAAAGGGACTGTGAACTGCATCCCAGCATTAGTCTGGGACGTGCTAGCTGCGTGGACCAGAACTAGGCCAGGGACTGATCTAATGATACGATCATATGACAGTGCTTTAGCTGGCCGCGTGTCCTAGCTCTGTTTAGTTTAAGAGTACAGAAGCAGCCTTACAGTACTATTTTCTAATTATACTTTGCAATTTTACTTTACTTTTCTACTGTCCTCCTCATGACATTTGGGTAACACAGTTCATCAAACCAAAGAAGTCTAATGAAAATAAGAAAACTGAATATATACATATGAATAAAGATTTGTGGACTAAAATCCCTGTCCTCCTGTTGTAAACTGTACAATAGCACACTGTATAAATAATCCTTGACTTCTTAATGGAGGACTGCATTAAAGAACTGCAGTTCTGATCACATCGCTGTATTCACCAAATAGTAAGATTCTATAATATACAATAATTTGTTGATATTGAAGATTTGCCTACTAGGCACCATTTAGCACATTTATTGCACGCATAATTTTAGGAGCAATTACTTACAGTAAAGAATAAAGAAAGCGCACAGTTATCGAGATACAATTTAACAAACTGATTTCATTATTGATCACATTGGTGGACCAAATTCAGCCCTCGTCTAATTCCACTTGAAAGTACTACTGAATTTGGCTCTGGTGCATGCTATTGTTTAGATAACTTTTCTGATCATACGTTGCCTACCTGTGATGCATCTTGGGGAAAAACTGCATCAAAAGCAAACATCTTGGGTGGAACCTGGTTGCCCCTTTTCTGGAAAGCATTCTGACCTCCACAGGCCAACGGGTCATACAGTGTGATTTGCTTCTTACGGGGGTCAACTTTTAAGAAAGAGCTGGACTCAGATGTGTCTCTAGCAAGTGTGGAAGAAATGCGCACCATGACTTTGACCTGTCAGTAAACACACAAAAAGATGACCACATTTGATTAGTTTGTTGGATGATCTAGACTGGAATGTTTTTCCAATTATACTTGACCAAATCATACTTGCTTGCTATAGCTGTAGTGTCTCAGTGGAAAGACACAGGAATTATTATAGGCAGAATTTGGCCTAAAATACACAGTGAATAAAGCCAGAACTCACCTCCATCTACTTTAACAGGCAACTTGTGTATTTAGAATTATGAGGTACATCGTGGTGCTTTTATGTCGATGTTACTCAAGTACAATGATGAGGTATTACATCACATTGTCTTACTCTTAATATAAATTGAAAATTAACTGCACCCCAGTGGCCCAATTAAGAAAGCTGAAAGGTAATCTAGACTGCTAAGGTATCAGAACTGCTGTGATTTCTACGAAGTGGTCTAATCAATAAAGCAAGCACATAAAAGGCAGATCTGTAATTTACACCTTTCCGATTATAATCCAAATGCAGAAAGATGAAGTGCTCAGTTCTAAGTGTCATCATCAAAGACTTGTGAAGAGCCCTGTTTTAATGCTCAGATTTTGAAATTATTGTCAAGGGAGTGGAATGTAATAAGCGATAAAAGATTTGTTAAAACACGTTAGCTCACAACTCATTAAATGGCTACATAATAAGACGTTATTCCTAAGACAAAAATACATCTTCATGGATTTAATGAGGTTATACTGCATCCTTAGCCCAGTTGGTAAGCAATTCAAATGTAAGTAAAACTGATGACAATTTGGTCTGGCTTTGGTTCTCCCCATAAATTCACCACCTGCAGAAACATGAGTTCCTGAACTTTAAAGGGCAAACATTACCTCCCTGCTAGCTCTTGCCTCTAGCCACACCTGCACGCACTTTGTCCTAGAGCAGACTGACTTTCACACCAACCAGACAGAATTTTATCTAAATGGTCCTTAACTGTATGTCACTTGTATTAAACCCACCCATAGTTGGCATGCAAGTGACCACAAAGGGTCACCTCAGCACAGGGTGGGAGCATATCTGCTGTTGGAATGGCAGATGCACCGTGGGAGGAGGTTGTAGCCGTAAAAGTTAGATGAGGCTGCAGTTTCTGTTGGCCTCATTGAGACTGGTGCTCTTTGTATGAAGATCTCATTTCATGCTGGCCTAAACTCATCCCACACGGAAATAAATCAGCTGCTTTGAGAGGTAAAATCTGGGCAAATTAATTTTTGACACAACTTCTTTGAAGACAATGGAATGAGACCAGAGACTAACTGGGATTATTTAGTATTTTTGTGATGTCTTGTCTACATGTCTGTGAGTCAAAGTGGTAATTTGACTCCACATATTTTAACCTGGGAAAACAAGTTGTCATTAGATGGTGAAATGGTCACAAATCTGTGCACATGATTTCAGTTTTACACAATTAGTTAAGGGAAAGAGGAAAAACACCACTTGGGTGTGAATAGGTTCTCTTCTCAACTGCTCAGCTGAGCTGCTTATGGAACCTAACCTCAAACTGGAAAAAGCCACTTCCAATATTTTGCCAAAGGCATTCTTCTAAACCCAACCCTAAGCAGTGCTGATTTTACTGAGGACAAAGGCAGCCAACACCCTTGGTCAGTCCCCATGAACTAGGCAAGGTTTGAATGTTTATTCCAGCCCTAGGTCTCCTGGCAGCTCAGAAGGGAGGCACTAGTCAAGTTAGCAGGGAAGGGAGGGAGTACAACACTAAATCCTAGGGAAGCAAGAAAACAAAGAGCAGTATCAGTCTTGATCTCTTTTCCTGTTTTCAACTTTGGATGCCTTTGGCTTTTTCTACTGTCCCCCACATTTTTAAACAGATGCCAATATCAAGAGCATTAGACTGATCTGTTGGAAACCAAAATGAATGCTATTCTTCAACCACTTTAAAGAAAAAACTTGCTCTGCTTTAGAAAACTATTTCCCTATAAGTTTATGTGTATTTTTGGCTGCTCTGAATCCGTGTCCTCCAGATCCTTGTGTGCAATGGAGAGTTAACTGAATACCCTGGGGCTAAGGTTTTTTGGGTTTTGGAGAAAGGCTAGTGCGTGAAATTTAACAACCCTTCATATACAGGCAGTCTAAGAGCCCTTTCTGGCCTCAGACTGTATGGGCATTCAGTTTTAACTTCAGCTACACCAGTTTTGTTACAGTATATCACTGGCTTGGGTCCTGATTTAAAGCTGCTCACACAAAATCAGATTAATACCTGTCACTTCTTACTGAAGTAATACTGCAAATCCTCCTAACTTCCAACAGCTATAGTGACAGAAGCTGAGGCATCAGGTTTCCCTTTCCCTGGAGTAAAAGACCAATTTAACTGAAATCCTAAAAATTTACTAGCATCAGATAAACTGAATGAACCACTATAAAAAAAGAGCTCATCTCAGAAGTCCCAGGAGTTGTCTAACAGCATACATTTTCTTACCACTTGGCTCCTCAACTCTGGCAAATATAGACATTTCTCAAGAAAAATACTGCTATTACCATGAACCTTTGTATTGCCTATGCATTGGGGATCTTTGTTTTGAGACTTAACAGTTCATGTGTGTTAGGGCAGAGGAATATCACACTGATTACATATGAGTATCCTGACAGCTGGACCACTTCTTACTCTGAAGCTAGTTTGTTTGCAGCTGGCATGAAGACATCTGTGCACCTTAGCACAGCTTATTATGGGTAATTCCTCTCACCTCCATTTAGACCACTCTGCAGGAGCTGTCTCCATCCAAGCCAGCTGCCTGACCCCTTTGTAGACAATAGAGAGGAACAGGCACTGCCTTATAGACCTGCCTTGAGATTAGATGAGTTGCACTCCACAAGTGCTTCTTGCTTTCTCTATACCACCACAAGCATCTTAAATGATTACCTGAGATATAGGTGCCTACGCTGTAGGGTGTCTGAAGTTACTCTTGTTGCTGTAAGTGTAATGAAAGTGCTTTTCCTGGGCAACACAGCCCTTGATCCAAATTCAGTAGCACACACAAATCTGTGTGACAGTTTTCAGCAAAAATCACGTGCTAACAAAAATAAAGATGGGCACATGAGTGTGATGGACACTGAACACAAGTAGTAGCAATAGATTATTTGAAGTCATCTGGTAATTTGTAGACCCTAGAGTATTCTCCCAGGCCAGTTTCACACCATCGTGACTCTTTCAAATTACTCCTGATTTACATTACATTAATTGAGAAGACAATTTGATCCTGGCTGTGCAAAATACACGTTCACTGTATGCCATGGGAGCTGTGACTATAGGAAAGCCCAACAAGCAGGCAAGTTACAGGCAAACTGCAGCCCTGAGAAACATGTATTGGGATTCAGAACTGCACACATAACTGTGGCACAATAACCTAGGCAGACCAAAACAGATTTTAAAACATCTGAGCTAGGTGTATCTTCTGAGGAGACAGACAGGCTGGTGGTCTGGGAATCAGGCTGAGATTGGGGAGCTGGGACCCCTCCTAAAGGCTGTGCCTCAGATGCAGTACAATTGTGAACTAGAGTGATACAACGTCTGTGTTTCACACTCCCCACCTATACAATGGGCCGAGTCAAAGCTTGCTTCACTGCAAGGCATATGGATACATTCAGTCATTGCCAGGCTCAAAGGACTGGCAGTTGCCATTAGGTAGGCACTCCATTGTTAAACGTTATTATGCATGTGACCTAAACCCAAGGATTTGTGCAAAGCATTTCCCAACAGTGGTTATGACAAGAGTAAATCAACTAAGCTACAGCAGTAGAAACAATGGGAGACCACGGCCTCCTGCTCTGCCGTTTCACAGTCCTTCATGCAATTTATCACTGGGGGTAGCGGGGAGAGGCTCAGAGTCCACGCTGGCCCCAGCAACCCAAGACACAGGGGAGGCAGCGTGAGGATGGACGAATGTAACTCAGCCAGCTATGGGGATAGCACAGGAACTTAATGGACTTAAAAGACTTCAGTTCAATTTAAGAAACAGACACGTTGAAGATCATAGTGCTGCTCTAGGGAAGGCAGAAATACAGTACCGTTAATTTGAAACTAACTGAACAGTGAAGTTTAAGAACTCTAATACTTTATGCTTGCAATTTATATTTAAATAAACTGTAAATGGAACTTCTCCTTAAAAAGAAGAAAGCATGTTTTCTGCTTCACTTCCTATGTGTCATTACTCCTTTAGCCCAATGCTACAGTTTCCCACTAATCTCTTGTAATTGAAGGGTTTAAGAGATACCACTTGCGATTAATGGGACCACTCAGTCTGCCAGAAATTCTTATTTGAATCCCAGTGATCAGGTCTTGGCAGCGCCCAGCCTTAGACGCACCTCTGACTGTTTCTATGGGGAAACATGAAAGCAGTCTCTTGAGACATGAGCTGTTGGTAAAACAAACAACCTGGGCCTAATTTTGATCTCATTTTACACTCATGCCAACCAGGCTGAACTCAGCAAGAATTACCCTAGCTTAAGAGTGGAGAGAGAGAATAAAAGAAAAGGTCACTTGCTCTGCATTATTATTGTGCCTCTTCTAGGATATAACTTCACCTCTTAATTCTGCTCATGCTGGAAGCATTTTTTCATCTGTTTTCTCCTGTGAGGTCACAGGATTGCATTTGACAACTATTCAATCCAACAGGACCCCCGTTTACTTCTCTGGATTACAGTTCCTGCCTACAAAGATTTGTTCTGTTGTTGAATGAGTTTTACAGTCATTGAATTTCACAAGCTTACTCCCAATGTGCAATGCCACAAATGAAACCACAATCAGAGCTGCACTGTTTAGGCTTCCTCAGCAAGGTTTCTTTGTTTTTTTATATGTGTATTTACTTTATACATATATATGTGTTTGTATTTAAATTATATACACTATATTTTAAAAATGCATATACATTTTTCTGAATATATATATAAA